CGTACCTATGATTGTTCAGACGTTTCTCTTTAGTATGTGTCGTGGAATTGTACACAGCGTTTTCTCGTAAAATGTCTGTAACAGGTACCCTATGACTGTTCAGACGTTTCTCTTTAGTAGGTGTCGTGGAATTGTACGCAGCGTTTTCTCGTGAAATGTCTGTAACAGGCACCCTATGATTGTTCAGAAGTTTCTCTTTAGTAGGTGTCATGGGATTGTACGCAGCGTTTTCTCGTGAAATGTCTGTAACAAGAACTTACTTGTTCTCTACCGTACCTATGATTGTTCAGACGTTTATCTTTAGTAGGTGTCGTGGGATTGTACGCAGCGTTTTCTCGTAAAATGTCTATAACAGGCACCCTATGATTGTTCAGACGTTTCTCTTTAGTAGGTGTATAGGGATTGTACGCAGCGTTTTCTCGTGAAATGTCTGTAACAGGAACTTACTTGTTCTCTACCGTACCTATGATTGTTCAGACGTTTCTCTTTAGTAGATGTCTTGGGATTGTACGCAGCGTTTTCTCGTGAAAGGTCTGTTACAGGCACCCTATGATTGTTCAGACGTTTCACTTTAGTAGGTGTCGTGGGATTGTACGCAACGTTTTCTCGTGAAATGTCTGTAACAGGAACTTACTTGTTCTCTACCGTACCTATGATTGTTCAGACGTTTCTCTTTAGTAGGTGTCGTGGGATTGTACGCAGCGTTTTCTCTTGAAATATCTGTAACAGGAACTTACTTGTTCTTTATCTTATCTATGATCGTTCAGACGTTTCTCTTTAGTAGGTGTCGTGGGATTGTACGCAGCGTTTTCTCGTGAAATATCTGTAACAGGAACTTACTTGTTCTTTATATTATCTATGATCGTTCAGACGTTTCTCTTTAGTAGGTGTCGTGAGATTGTACGCAGCGTTTTCTCTTGAAATATCTGTAACAGGAACTTACTTGTTCTCTACCGTACATATTGTAGAGTACGAAGACTAAGGTACATGTATTTTATTGTGACATGTGTGATGTACATGTAAGTTTACATAGACAGGGAGAAGATATTTTTGATGTATGTTTTAATTGGTATTAATAAAGCATATTGTTTAATATTCTGTATTTTTTTATGAAAGTCTTATTATGTAGGAAACAGTAACTGTGTGAAATAACTTGTACTATATTACTTGTAATGATTGTAGTCTGAAACATATTCATAATTGAAGCAAATAAGTTTTAATTAACATTTAATTAAGTAAAGTTAGAACAATTACAATATTATGATTTTCTAGAAATATTGAATTACTGTCATTTGAATATTTGATAAACTATTTGAAGTTCATGTTATAATTTACCAGTTCATAGTAATAATCCACTGAATGTCTTGTATTTTTGTGATGATCCAATTGTAGCAACTGTAGTAGATCGTAGTAAATCTCGTAGTAAATCCACGCACCTTGCTTGAATTTTATGAATGAAATGTACTGACATGCGCAGTGGAACCCATGTGTCACTTGGGACGATTTTTCAATAAAAACACTAATTTTACGTTTCGGCAACTGTTTTAAAATAATCTTTGTAATTCCATTTTGTATTTGTAGTCAACGTCTTCAATGTTTTGCAGATGTTAATGCTCACTATCCTTGATATTTGTCATTTTGGTTAGCCGGTGACACACATAACTTTTGGCAATGTTGTTTACGTATTGTGACTTCCGGTGAAGTTTTATTGGTGTATTTTTAGCTACTATAGAAATTTGTTTAGTACCATGCAAAATTTGTTTATTATATGACTGTTACTAAAATTGTATATTATTATGATTTTTGTAATTTATTTGAGAATTCAAATATTTCGTTGGACAGCAAGCGCGCGATCCAACTTTTCCAACTTTGCCAACAATCCAACATTGACGTAATTTCGACGCTTGTTCGTCAGTTCTGCTTAAATCTTTGGTCGTTACAGTTAGTATTTTATTTCGCTCATCAGTAATTTTTGTCAAAATGGTTAATTTTTCTCACAAACTTCATTTTTTTGGGGGTTAAATTGTAAAGGAAAATAGTAAATTTAGCGTTTTCTAAGTTAAAAGGAATATTTCAGTTTTTGCGGACTCTTAGGAGCCGGACTCCTACATTTTTGATCTATTGCTTAAAGTAGTTTATTCTTTTGGTAAATTTCGGAAAGTTCTTAAAATTGTTTTAGAATATCTTTTAAGTTAATTATCGTATTATTGCTGGCAAAGCTTTATTTCTAGTTTATCTTTTAAAGTTAGGATTATTGAAATTGTTCATTGTATTTCATGTTACTGTTAACGTTCGTATTTTTTTAATAAATACAATTAAATAGGAAAACATTTGGCAATTAAGGGATAATTTCCTAAAGGTCTGGAAATTATAATAAACAAAACAGTTTATGTAAGGTATAAACTGTATTTCATTGTTAGTTTTTATTCAGGAAAGGTTCTGAATATAACTAATAATAATAAACATTTTTTTATGTAACTGGTGAGGTATCAGTTATTACTATATACAAAAATGTCAGAAAAAGGTATTCTGACTAAATTCACTTGAAATTAGTATTTTCTGTAAGGGTAATTTATTTTCTTAGTTATATAGCAGGACTCAGCCTTTTATGTATTTTTCTAACATACCAACATACAATTATATTGGTAATAGCAAGTGTTATTTTTTTTAGAATTGCACGGAAAAAGTTATCCTGCAATCATAAAGATTTTATTAATCATCTCTTGAGTGTAGAGATAAATTATTACATGTATACTGAATAGATTCTTGTCATATCATTTAAGAGTCTATAATTTAATTATCTTACTACTTAAAATTATTGTTTATCCTGAATATTAATGAAAATCTCTGATTCTCAAAATGAATAAAATATAGAAACTTATATATGTTACTTTTAACAAATGCCTATATTATACTGACCAGATCATATCTTGTCATACTGACTTAGCAATTTCCAAAATACTCATAATTTTGGGTAAAACTTTTGGGTCAAGCATTTCAAGCCCCTGCCCGCTACAATATGATTGTTCAGACGTTTCTCTTTAGTAGGTGTCGTGGAATTGGCGTGAAATGTGTGTAACAGGCACCCTATGGTTGTTCAGACGTTTCTCTTTAGTAGGTGTCGTGGGATTGTACGCAGCATGAAATGTCTGTAACAGGCACCCTATGATTGTTTAGACGTTTCTCTTTAGTAGGTGTCGTTGGATTGTACGCAGCGTTTTCTCGTGAAATGTCTATAACAGGCACCTTTTGGTTGTTCAGACGTTTCTCTTTAGTAGGTGTCGTGGGATTGTACGCAGCGTTTTCTCGTAAAATGTCTGTAACAGGCACCCTATGATTGTTCAGACGTTTCTCTTTAGTAGGTGTCGTGGGATTGTACGCAGCGTTTTCTCGTGAAATGTCTGTAACAGGAACTTACTTGTTCTCTACCGTACATATGATTGTTCAGACGTTTCTCTTTAGTAGGTGTCGTGGAATTGGCGTGAAATGTGTGTAACAGGCACCCTATGGTTGTTCAGACGTTTCTCTTTAGTAGGTGTCGTGGGATTGTACGCAGCATGAAATGTCTGTAACAGGCACCCTATGATTGTTTAGACGTTTCTCTTTAGTAGGTGTCGTTGGATTGTAAGCAGCGTTTTCTCGTGAAATGTCTATAACAGGCACCTTTTGGTTGTTCAGACGTTTCTCTTTAGTAGGTGTCGTGGGATTGTACGCAGCGTTTTCTCGTAAAATGTCTGTAACAGGCACCCTATGATTGTTCAGACGTTTCTCTTTAGTAGGTGTCGTGGGATTGTACGCAGCGTTTTCTCGTGAAATGTCTGTAACAGGAACTTACTTGTTCTCTACCGTACCTATGATTGTTCAGACGTTTCACTTTAGTAGGTGTCGTGGGATTGTACGCAGCGTTTTCTCGTGAAATGTCTGTAACAGGAACTTACTTGTTCTCTACCGTACCTATGATTGTTCAGACGTTTCACTTTAGTAGGTGTCGTGGGATTGTACGCAGCGTTTTCTCGTGAAATGCCTGTAACAGGAACTTACTTGTTCTCTACCGTACCTATGATTGTTCAGACGTTTCTCTTTAGTAGGTGTCGTGGGATTGTACGCAGCGTTTTCTCTTGAAATATCTGTAACAGGAACTTACTTGTTCTTTATCTTATCTATGATCAATCAGACGTTTCTCTTTAGTAGGTGTCGTGGGATTGTACGCAGCGTTTTCTCTTGAAATATCTGTAACAGGAACTTACTTGTTCTCTACCGTACATATGATTGTTCAGACGTTTCTCTTTAGTAGGTGTCGTGGAATTGGCGTGAAATGTGTGTAACAGGCACCCTATGGTTGTTCAGACGTTTCTCTTTAGTAGGTGTCGTGGGATTGTACGCAGCATGAAATGTCTGTAACAGGCACCCTATGATTGTTTAGACGTTTCTCTTTAGTAGGTGTCGTTGGATTGTACGCAGCGTTTTCTCGTGAAATGTCTATAACAGGCACCTTTTGGTTGTTCAGACGTTTCTCTTTAGTAGGTGTCGTGGGATTGTACGCAGCGTGAAATGTCTGTAACAGGAACTTAATTGAATGTGATTTACAAACAGAAACGATATTGTTCGAGGCTTCATCTGAGGACGGCAAGACGTTTTCGTTAAGGAACTTTGACAATGTTCTTTGATACAACATGATTAAGTATTTTTGTACATGTACATCTTTATGTTCTCTACCGTACCTTTTATTTCCGTGTTAAATGCCTCTCCTGGACTAATTTTACTGTACATTCCTTGTGCAACCTTTTTTGTGTCTCTCATCCAGTAAAAGTATGATGCTTAAGATCTCGGAAATCTAGGAAAACCACATATATATGTTCTTGTGTCAGCCCTAAGTTACAAAACGTTTTTCTGTTTCATCTGGATGTTTTTTCAACAACAACAACAACAACAACAACAACAAGGACACCTATCCGTTCTTAATGGAAAAAAAATTATATCAGCCCTTTTATAGACTGGGTTTAATTTATTAATTTCCTAGACTTGTATAGATATATAGCTGGAAAAAATATTCAGACATTTGTGTATTGTTGACCTTCTATATTGACCTCTTAAGAAGTCTTTACCATTTTTGTGTCCATGAATTGTTGTCGTATACCCTAAGTCTTCTTTCAATTCCTTTCTGTACACGAGTCGAGGCTTATGGTTAGGAGTTCATAGCGATTTAGAGCTTGGTATAAGGTACAGACTGACACATTTGTCTATTGTTTAAAATTCCGATTATGAAAATGCTTTGAACGCTGTAAATTTAATAGATTCACTATGATGTAAAAGACCTATGGAATAACAGAAGAATCTTTGATACTTTGGTGACTCAGCAAAAGAAATTTTATAAAGCAAATCTGGATTGATATAAATGAAAGGCATTTTGATTGGCATTTCGGACGTTTGTTTACCTTCCTTTAATCAAATAGTTGACATTCTATTGCATGACGCAATGCTTGGTAATCAAGTTCTGTGTTGTAGACATTCGCACTTAGTCGGCAATAGAAGTCATCGTCTATGAATACTGTAGCCACAACAATACGGTAATTCAATATGGTATCCACTATGTACTGATTGCTGTCCGTCTATAAAACATTATGAACATCCTATTATATAGCTAAGTCAGATTAAATGTCCATCTTTTTTTTTTATGATACAAGTTTTTTGTTTCTAAATTCCTCAAACTTAATAATCTATATAAATTTTATAAAAAACATATTGTCAGCATAAAAAGGATTTTTTTAAACAAAATATTTTGACTGAATGTACGTTTTCAACAGAATTCAGTTGTAAAGTATTGACAATATTGATCTCATCAAGAAGAACTATTTACATATTTTTTTAACTACGATAATCTTAATATTATTGAAAAATCATATTTTTAAGATTTTTATTAAAAAATGACAAAATCATATATTTATATTTGTTTCAGGATTAAATGAGTATGACGTAGAGAGTTCAACAATTAATCAAAACACTGCTAGAGAGATATTAGAGACGTCAGAAATAAAAACGATCAAACTTATACTTCAGCTAAGTATTTAGCCTATCTCGTATATGTTTAATGCATATGTGATGTTGACATTGTTTTCTGGTTCACGGGCTTATTAACAAAACGATTTTGAACCTTCTTTCATCGTATTACGAATGCATTCTATACTAAGAAAAACTATGAAACTAATCCACTACATTTAGAAATTCATGTAAACAGAATTGTATTCGAAAGTTGATCAACCGTTTTAAGATTTTGACAACTTCTACGGATATGTCTACAGAAAATTTCAATCAATTAATAGAGCTTTTCGAAACTCAGATTTTCACGGTTATAAATACCCCATTTTAAACGAAAAATATAAATTTTTGGATGTCATATTTCCGACAAAATGATCAACAATAGTGAAAAACTTATGAAAAACATTATGCAGATGAACAATTTCCCTTTGTATTTTGTCCAGTGTGATCAAATTTGAATGAACATTTGTGAGTGTTCATTTTGATCTTCATGGGACAATTTGCCAGTTTCTGAACTGAAAAAAATAGAAAAGAGAACAAACTATTAAAGAAACGTGTAGCCAAATGTTTGAGAAATGCATTAAAAATACACCTTTTAAATTGTTATTCGAACGGGGCTTGAATATTATGTGTTGCTTTTCTATTCAAAGGCATTCAGAATACGACTGACACTTACAGTTATGAACGTCTCTGTGCATATATAATTAGAACTCCTTATAGTTTACAACACTGCAACATGAAAGATACAACTAGTGGACAAAGAAATGCTGATCCATTCGCATTGTCAGAGAATATCGCTTGTTTTAGTGGGGTTCATGTTGCTTTACTTTGAGTTTCTATGCTGTACGTTCTTTTATTTTTTTCTACAAGCGTTGTTTCTATCGGTAACGCTCATTTTTATCATTGGTCCTCATATTTTAAACTTTGGCTTTTTTCCTTCTGTCAATGTTGTTGTATGTCCCTCTTCATGATTATTTTGTACCCTTCGGTACTCCTCGATTTCTTGTTAATTTTTATTTGAATACATAACATAGTGGATGAAGGCAGTATTGACCCAATCTAGATTTTTGGAATTCCATCAGATGCTTTGGATTCTACCAATCCTTATCTTTTGTGCAATTCTATATGCAAAAATAAGGCTTTTTTTCTACAGAGTTTTATATCGTTTATTATTGGTGAGTATGCTTTACCTAATTTTTGCTACGAATAAATTCACACAGTACTTGATAGTCTTCGTCTGTATTATAAATGTTGGCACTCAAACGACAATAGGCGATTCCATGTACTGATGATATTTGACAAACTATGTTATGCCTCAGTATGTTGTCTTTAATGCGGTTTTCACATTCATCCTACAAAAATTTAGTACGTTAATTTGGACTCCTAGACTTCACCTTACTTCAGTTAGGAATATTAAAAAAATAACGGATCATCTGCATACAAAGATAAATATAGGTATCACGGCAAAACTTCTTTTTGAACCCCTTTTGTATGCACCTATGCTTATTCCGTTAAAATAAAAAGGGTTCAAGTGGAAGTATTACCAGTGTAATGAACATGAACAATATAAAACACACTACTCACGCCTGATGAAAGTCCCTTCAGTTTTGGTAGACGAACCATTCGCATAAATGGTGCTTCCATTGATCTTGGAATTTGCAGCTTTTCTGTCTTCCATGAGGTTGTTAACATGTTGGTGGCTTTGTTCAAAAGGTCATCTACATAGCCGTAAATTTTATCCTGTAAGACAATTTTATTTGCAAGGTTATTTGTTAAGAGCTGCTTAGTTAAAACATCTTTTATTGTCGAAATAATTCATGACAAAAGGATCGGACACAAGTTATACAACAGTTACTTAGAATTGTCTTCTCCATAAGAATTGCTTATAACATTAACACAGATCACCAGAGTTGCCTTTATTTATTTAAGATATGCCAAGCGCATCTAAATTGAACACAATACTTATTTATTTTTATTAATGTTAAGTAATTGTCAGAGGGAATAGAAATCTTTGTTTTTTGTTTGAATTAAAGTTAAACGAGTTGTCGTTTTGGAGTTGATGCACATTTCTGGGATAAAACATCATCAAGTACGAAGAATTAAAAGTTGTGATCGTAAGGAGGAATAAAAATATCGAGAGTGTTTTGTCCTAAACGGGCTTAAAAGAATCGGGAATCAATTTTCTGTTCAACCTAAGAGAAATATCTAACCAAAACCATCACATGTTGTTTTAAATCAGAGAATATACGTTTGTTTATTCTTTCTTCCTATGTCCTGGGTATAGGTTAATCTTGCAGGTGATTAGTTGCTTGTTTTTCTATAAAGTTGTAACCAAAAAACTGAGTGGATGTTTGGATGGATGCAAGTTTAACGTTCAGTGGCAAATATTACATACTTATCAGACGATTCAATAAAATCATTGAATCCCATTCAAAACCAATAACTAAGGATAAACAGAAGCCATTATCATTTAGTTTGTTATAAGATTTTACTCCAGTAACTAACTGTTGTTACTAAAAATGTCTACTTATCAACTTTAACCACGAGTTACATTGTTTATTTTGGCTATTATCCTGATGTGTTCTGATTACTTACATAACCGCCAATATCTTTGTAGAATGTCAAAGCGTCCGGTACAACACAGTATGGGCTGTCGTCTCGTGTCCCCTGTTCGAAAAAGTCATTTTGGAATGTTGTTTTATGACCATGTGACGTCACAAGAGGTCTAACCCAATCCTGGTGCGTCCTCTTAACGTAAAGTATTGCACATCCACGTGGTGTGTACAGCCATTTATGAAAATTGCCTGAAATCAAACAGACCACGGGTTTTGTAAAACATAACCAGTTCTAAACACAACGAAAATAACTGAATATAAAATATGTGTTTTGTATCCTCATCTGTTTCCTTTACACAATGACTAACACTTGTCATAATAGATAAACACACATATAGATGTGTGCAATCACATCTACACAGTATACCACACATTAATCTGAAATCACAACTAAAGATGCTCTATTATAATAAAATAAAAAAGAAAAAAATTACTATATCGGTTGTAAGAAATAGTAAAAAAAGGCCAAAATAAAATAGTATTTTCATTATATACAGCCGAGTCACTATATCTGCTAGTATCATGTTTTATAAGAGGCTGTCATCTCTTAAAAGCCAGTTCTCATGGTACATTTAAGACTTTCTAAGTTTTTACTTCAAATTAACTTTCTCGTTCTCAGTTTTAAAGGTTCACCTCCGTCGTATAGTTCAGCATTGCTTTAAAGTTTTCCTAAGAGGTTGATCCTTTTTTAAAGGGTTTATGTCTTTAGATGATTGCTTAGCACATTTGAAAGTTCGTGCTCCTATTTTCCTAATCATGTTTTTTTTCTATAAAAGTGGCCACCATTCAGACCGTTTCAGGATTTCTGCACTAAGTATTTTACAAATCTCTTTTGTATCTAGGCCAGATGAAGACCGCCTCCGGATGCGGGATTTTCTTGCTGTGTTGAACACTCATTGGAGCGTTGGGCTGTTTTCTGCTCTTTTGTCGGGTTGTTGTCTCTTTGACGCATTCCCCGTTTCAATTCCCAATTTTATCTATATTTTTTTTTATGGTTATCGACGGACGGGAATAAAAGTGTCATCGGTTTTCAATCATTTGCAGAGATTGTGTCAATGTTTAAAGGTGTAAAGTTCATAGTCCTTAAACAAATACTTCAAGAGTTGTATTAGCCATTTTGTGGTCTACAAAATAACTCGAGCTTACATTGTGGTTGTTTTCAGCAACGTGATCCGTATATATATATTCAAAAATAGTTTGTAACTACATGTGCATATATTTTTTATCCTAATACTAGTAAGTCTCTTTCTCAGTTTTCAAAGCTCTTTTCCTGTTAAAATACCTGTATAAAAATCCGCATCCAACTCTTTCAGATTGAGAGGAATCTGTCCAGGCGCATGTGCACCGTCTATTAATGACAATACTCCAAACTCTTTACAAAGTGGTATTAACTTTTCAATAGGCATTCTAATGGCGGATGGACTAGTAATGTGATCTATAACAACATTTTAAATAAGTGTCAGAAATCAATAATTTTCTTTCTGTCTTACATGTACAAAGCTAAAATTGTGGCGCATGTCATCAAGTTAATAAGTTCCTCGAATATAAAATCTTATCTGAACGTTTCCTATACCACTTTACTTAAAAGTAAGAGAATACGAAACTATATGCCATATTTGGTTTTGTAAACATTTACTAACTATCCGTCAGATGTGTGTACTGATTGATTTTTACATTGCGATGACTGTGAGGGCATTCCGATGTATTGTTGCCACAGAGATTTCTACATGCGTAGCTTTCGTTTTTTGAATGGTAACCGATCTATAAATACGCGGACATTATCCAGTGCAAAATAACATTCCTTGTCGATTGTTTTAAATTCATTTGGTCAATGAATACTCATAAAAATATTGTTTTAGAACATAAATTAATAATATGAAAATGTTTTGTCGTTAGAAAAATATATATAAGTAAACAATCATTAATATCTATGCACACGTACAGAATAATTGTGGTACTGAACGCATGCGGAAGAATATCTCAAGAACGTATGCGGGAAAATATGAATGCCTGCTCAAATCCAATCTATCAGAAAAATCGAATTATCACAGAAGAGTGTCCACCATGCACTTGAACTGCACTATTATTAGAATAGTAGAATAGAATGATATACAAATGGATGAAAATTATATATACATATAACTGTTATATACAAATATTGATATAATATTACTACAATATTATATCGTTATTACGGTGAGGTTGAATTCCCTGTCATTTATTCATCATCCACGCATGCACTTGTCTCAGAAAAAAATATATCTCTGTACATTAACCTCACTTTCAGGTGTAGAGATGTGATTTACTTTCTGAGACAAGTGCTTGTGACCATCCACAAGAACTTGCGGTCATCCGATGTTCAGTACTTCAGTACTTTGATTTAGTCTGGGATAACATGATATATGTATTAGTTGTAATTGGCTTTGAACTATCTTTAAATAACTGCTAGTTCTCTTATAATATGTCTAAAGGTACTTTGTGTTAATTGTTTTTATATTAGTTGGTTATTTGTGCTTCGTACCGATATATTGAGTTAAGCCATTTGCAACTGATTTTTACAGTTTGTTTTTTGGTAATGCTGTTACACCACTGTCCCTAGTTATAGGGGCAGAGCGCTCACAAACATGTTTAATCCCGCCACATTCTTAATGTGACTGTCCCAAGTCAGGAGCCTGTAATTCAGTGATTGTCGTTGGTTCGTGTATGTCATATTTGTTGTTGTTTTTTTGTAAATTGTATTGTTATAAATTTGGCTGGTTGTTTTCTCGTTTGAATTTTTTCAGTTTTTTCATGTTGGGGACTTTTATAGCTAACTTTACGGTATGGGTTTTCCGCATTGTTGAAGGCCATACAATCCCCGATCAGCTAACCAGTCTTCGACTGTTATGATGTAAAGTCTCAGATTCTTCGTAAATGGCGATCGTTTCTCATTGTTATGTGTTGTGTATTATAATAATTACTTCAATTCTTTTATTCAATATTTGTATCCGGATAGTTTCACGACGTTTTGTTTCAAATTGTTGTTGGTATATTTGTAAGAGTATACGTGAAAGACATACCTATTACTGCTAATTTAACCGTCGGGTTATTCTTGAAATATTCCCGAAACATTTCTACAACTTCATCTTCATTCACGATAGGAAATTTCAAGTCTATGTATTCTACGCAAATATCTGGAAAAATGAGATTACTAAAATTTATGATATACACACTTTTCGGCAACTAATATTCTGAATGAGTTGGTTTGCCTGTGGATAACAGTATGATCGTATTGAAGTCATTAAGTATGACATATATTAGCAAAAAAAGATTTATTTACTATAATTTAATGCTGCAGTGTTCGTGCATGTGTGATGTTTACTTGTCTGTTTATTTATATTTTAATTCGTTTGTTTTAGTTCTTATTTCTGTGTTATGAACACATAACAACTGTTTCGTAGGGATGTGTAGTTATTAACATTTTAAGAATAAGATAGAACCTTCTTGGTCTATTTTCAAAATGATGGTTTTACAACATTGATGTGTTGAAAGAATGAAGATTCTAGAAATTAGAAATAGTAGAAATTACATTTTCTACTAAATGTTTTATGATCACTTTGTTGAAAAGTCTTCGATCCATACAGGAATTTGATGTTGATGACGAATTGCTTTGCCTTGACTCGTGCGATATAGAACTTGACATAGTATAAATACTTGTCTTTTGTTGGAACCTTTGTGTTAACATGTAGATCTGTTTTGTGTTGTGGGGTTGTTTTGTTGATGAGGTATATCGGACATCTTTATCAATTTATATTGCCTTACGGTTACTGTTTGCCGATACACTAATGTTTACTGTTTGCCGGTAACCAGTCCTCACGTTTTCGTGAGTCTACACTAATGTTTACTGTTTGCCGGTAACCAGTCCTCACGTTTTCGTGAGTCTACACTAATGTTTACTGTTTGCCGGTAACAAGTTCTCACGTTTTCGTCAGTCTACACTAATGTTTACTGTTGTTTGTTACTCTATACATTTTTTTAATCAGTATACTTGAAGATGCAGATGTCTATGATAAGTTTGTTACCTTTAACACCAGGTAGTTCTGCTGTTGCACTGCATGTATTTTTGATAGCTGCATAAGTGTTGTCAGTACACAGAATTACGTCTCCTTTGTCAAATTTGAACGACTTTAGGACTGTATTTACGCCTGAAATAGAGTTTATGTAAATACAACCTTCCAACATTAATATATTAGTACTAAGTTAACTTGTCCAATATCTGTAGGTAAAGCGTATCTATTAAATTCCAGTCATGTGTACGCCTAACACGAGAAAGTGATGCCATGAACTTAGTTTTACTGTGCGTATTGCTATGTGCTTGTTTATTCTACATTAGCTAGAGGTATAAGGGAGGGTTGAAATCTTATAAAACATATTTAACCCCGCCGCATTTTTGCGCCTGTCCCAAGTCAGGAGCCTCTGGCCTTTGTTAGTCTTGTATGTTTTTTAAAATTAGTTAATTTATATGTTTTTGGAGTTTAATGTGACGTCCATTTTCACTGAACTAGTACACATTTTTATTTAGGAGCCAGTTTCGCTTTCGAAGCAGGGTATACTTAACCCTCAATTCTAATATGTGTAAGTATTTCTGAGCATTTAGTTTTCGTTGTCAACTAAACTTCTTGTCATGTTTTTTCTTCATATGTCTCTTTACATTTTACTTGGGCTGTTTAAGTTTTTGTCTCTGAAATTCTATTTTTGAAATTGGCATTTTACGGTTACTGCATTGATAGGAAAAGAATAAATGATAACATTGACATTACGAACCAAGTCCATGCTAAACTCGTGTGAGTAAAGAATGAGACCAATAGTAAAACAATTATTCATAAACAAATATTTTTTTAATTTCTGTTGTATTATAAATTGTTACACCAATAAAACGACCATTATCATAAAAGAACAATAGTGTTGTGTAATCTTAAAATCCCGAAAAATAAACATTTTTTTTTTTATATTGTAAAGCTTCACAATTATTTTCATCAAAGACACAGCTTTAATGAGATTATATGACGAAAAGATATATGTTGCTAAAGTTTTATACAGACCTGTTGTAGCATTTTGAACAAAAACCAAGTCATCTGCTTCAGTATTTACAAACTCAGCTATCAATCGTAGCGATTCGTCTTGTTTTATTCGTCTGTTTATTCGGAACCATAGATCAGGAAAGCTGTTAATTTCATACAGAACCCTTAAATATATGTACAACAATATAACAAATATATATTCGTTACCGTTCCGTAAGCAATTCGTCCCTCTTTTATTTCTTTTCTCTTCCATATTTAATTTGTTTTATTGATAAACAGAGCCGCTTATTGTTTACAGACCTGTACAATTGTTCAGAATCATAATGCTGAAAGTGTGCTTTTTAACTTAGCTACAAGAGTTCGGCGTTCGTGCAGTAATTTTTCTTTGTTGTCTTTGCACTTGTCTGGTTGCTTTTTTTAATTTGTCTCTTTTGTATATTGCTCTCTAGATGCCAAACTAAATTGATTTACCTGTTAATTTTTATAGTTGTTTCGGTGGTTGAAACAAGTTATTGGCTTAACTACATATGATTAGTAATTAATTACTCATGAAAAATATATGTTTGTTTGAAATATATTTATAGGGTTTCAGGCAACATTCTCTGCTTTCAAACAAAAACTTCATGTTCAATGTCTTTAAAGAAGACATTTGTTTATGAAACGGTTCGAATTTTGTCAAAGGACCATTGATTTATATATTATTACTTTCCCTTTCGTTCATGTTTTCACACATTGGTAAATTAAGGCAAAAGTAGTTTACCATTTTTTTAAATGATGAAAATTGTTCGAAAAAACGTTGATTTTTTTTCTCCCTTTGTTGTCGTAAACGGTTTTATTTTAGATCAATATATTAATATAGTCTCATACAATTTACAATTTTCATTCGCTAAAGTTAAAAAAAAATATATATTCACTGAGTCTGGTAAATAATTTTCAAAATCCTTTTTTTCCCTAAATTGTCTGAACCCCTTTCAGAAACAAACCAATAACACTTTACTGAACAAAAATATCTAATTTCATTAATAGATACCACCAGACTAAGAGAATAATCATTGTATAGGTAAAACTGAGACTGAATTTATTCCTAATAATTATAGAATATAATTAAAATTGTAATGTATACGTGCATGATGTCTCACAGGTTTGATCAGTCATTACATTTATGAAAATTATATGTCACGTATGAGCACCAATGAGCAAAGATGCGTACCCAAAGTTAGCTGAATATCTAAATTTTAAACGGTCGTGAATAAAAAAATACTGGCGTGGTTTCAATTCACAAGGATTTTAAATCATTGCATCTCACAAAAAACGTAATTAATATTTTACAATAATCAAAACAAAATTTAATTACTATTATAATGTTAATTATTTGTTTTTCTTTTTCTTTTTCTTTATTAGTTTAACCTTATAGCATCTAAATATTTGAACTATGGTACGGTTTTTTAAAATTGTATTCATTGTGTTGGTCAGCTATCCTACACGTCTTGATTCATTCACATTATACATCACCCTTTTCCCACGCACACTATCGGTTTGCGTTCACAAAAATTCCGGATAAAATGTCAATGAATCCGGAGTCAAAACACTTGAGGTAGGTAGTTTGACATCCGAATTCAACTATTAGATTAATATATGTGATGACGCAAATGCGTATTCTTATCCAGAGTATCAGTGCGTATGCTTTCTATTTTCTATATCTTGCGCAAAAATACTACGTTCATGCATAAATATTAATTTCACTCGCGAATGCGAATTTTCGCTTTTCTTATCTTAATTCAGGACACGGCAATAAGAGCTTGCCATGTGACTTTCAAGCACGGTCATCATTGCTTACGGTATTCTGACCTCTAGCTGTTTCTTTTTTTTTTTTTTTTTGAGTCACTGTCCTTTTACATTTTGACATTTTCGAAATGCCCAAGGAATAGATTACTTAACTTCGTACTTTATTTGGCCTTTTTAACTATTTTTATTCGAGCGTCACTGATGATTCTTTGTAAACTTAACTCGCGTCTGGCGTACAACATGTTAATCCTGGTATTTTTTTATATCTACATGTCTTTTTATATAAATTGGTTCTTTTGAGAGTATGTTTAGGTATTCATAAAACTTCTGAAAATAAGATATTCTTCAAAACCAAGTTCCCTGTAAAATATTTAGATTGATTTAAGTGAAATCAGGAAATCCTTAAAATTTGAGTGTTTTTTGAGACCAAAATAAGTCTCTATATGAGAAGTCCAAATGAAGCTGGTGTGTTACTCTCAAGAAAAATATACGAAACCTTCTTATAAGTTGCATGCCACAGGGTTTCACTTCACATGGAAAATGGACTTTAAATTTAACGGTACAACATCTACCATGAGTACAGACAACTTCAATAACGAGTTGAGAATATGAAGGCATCCATGCAGGAAACAAAATATAAAGATGTGATAGATAAAATAAATGCATCCAGATTATAAAGCAAACTGAGTGCTTAAATTTATATTGCGATTGGTTTGTGCAATTTGCATTTAACATCCGGTTTGTAGAAACTGGGATTTGCAATAGGATTATAAAAAAATGATGTACAATCCCAAGTAATAAATGAAATAGTCGAGCTTTAAAATGTATATTCAAATAGTAGCTGTATACACACTTTTCTATTCACACCTATCCAACATTGCTTTCAACTGACTTGTGCAAGAATGTACACACTATTTCATATTTTTAATAAAGGTAGTTTAACTTCATCATTATCTCCTTCTATTCACAGTCAATTATTTCAATTCAAAAGCAAACAAAAATTCAGCAACAATCTTTTGGTGACCAGTCAGCGGTCTTAGGTTCACGTATTGCTTTTCTTGTTTTTAAAGAAAGCAACTTGTTTTATTTACCGATCAGTTGGCCTATACCTGATTTGTGCTTCCTGTACTCGCAATGGAACAACACCAAAGGATCCATGGTTAATGAATGTTACGCCATCTTTCAGGTCAAATTCTTTTTCACGCATTTCCTTACCAAAGTCAGGCATATCTCCCATTCTTATCTAAAATATAGACCTTAATAAGAAAAATAATGATTTCAATGTAACGATTAATTGTCTTTTTTTCTATTAATTGTTTAATTCTAAATATATCGAAAAATTGTTTGTCCAGAGAACCATCAGAGAACCCCCACCCCTCAACCCCACCACAAAAAAAAAAGAAAAAAAGAAAAAAATAGATGGTAGGTGGCGTACCTGTTATATATGTATTTCTTATGAACTATATGTCTGAATTCTATATTTGTATGTGTCTAAATGAGCAAGGATGAAAATAAGCATTTTATGATTTAAAATGTTAGTCATAAACCAGAATTGGTTTGAATTATTGAAATGCACTTTGACTGCCAATTAATAATTTGAGATGTATGTGCTATTTTCTCCTTTGTCCCAGAGACATATATACATGTATATATGTCTCTGTTTGTCCTAATGGTCGATCGGCCTTTGTCGAATCGCATTATTATAACAGTTCGTGTGCTACTTTGTGACGCATTTTATGTGTACTTTCAATCTTTAGTTGTGTATTCCATATAATACATATACATGTATATACGTGATGAGATACGTGATAAGTAGAAGTTATCAGGATTAAAAATACAACATGAACAACATAAGAATAAAATAATAAATTTGATATACAATGAAAATGTAATTTAACGACCCAATACCAAAAGTGTTTTCAGATCTTAAAATAGAACATCGTTTAGTTTAATAAATTATGTGTAACACGTCTACAATGGTCACTGACTGGTTAAATGATTTATAATAGTAAATACCTGTTCATAGCTCGGATTTAAATAAATAAGATATTTAAGCGTGAACACGTGCATGCAATGCATATGTCGGTTGTTGAACTAATTTACATGCAAGTTAATATTTACCTTTAGGTTCAATAATAATACAAGGAGATGTACCACGGTTGAGTTCATACAAGATAAGAACATTTAATTTAACTAAACATATGTTGCAAAATTCATTGACATTTAAAGTTATATCATTTCATGTTTCGCAGTTTTTTTCAGAGATAGTTTTATATTTTAAGGCACCGTACGTGTAACAGTATTACTGTTGAAGTTTTAAGGTAGCACAATACAAAGATTTTATACCTCCAACTCCCCAGTTTTAAAATGCTGTAACTTTCTTTATAATGCTTGAAAATTTATAAAAGTGGTATTTATGGATAGCTAACAGATTACTCTTTCAAATTAATGCAATGTTAGTATTATACAACAATTATGTAATTAATTATAATTTTAACTGTGTCTACAAAATTTTACAAGAAATTTCCACTTTCAATTGAAATTAGCTTCTTCATGGATACCCCGAGAGGGTTGATTTTATAATATGTTGTTCCTAGAGCCATTATCTACAAAAGGGTGTCTCAGATTTTGGATAGAATAAATAGATCAAATTTTACACCTAATCAAATAATCTCTACTTTTATGTGGTAAGGATGTTTACACTAATTACAGATTTATGAGAGAATGGAATACGATAGCGATAATTTGAGACACCCTTTTGTAGCTCCTGCAGTGTTGATTAAGATAATGTTAAAATTTCTTGTGTAGTTATAGAGATGTCAGAGCTAAATTCATTCAAGTGAACTGACCAAGATTTTGCCATTAATTGCATAATAATTGATTACATAATGATTGCATAACAAAAATATTGCATTCATTTAAAAGATTAATCTTTTATCTATCTATATATACCTCTTTTATTAATTTGTATGCAGTCATAAGAAAGTAACATCATTTTAAAGGTTGGAGATTGGAAGTAAAAAAATCTTTGTATTGTGCTACCTTAAATATCGATACATGTGTACTCATGATGTAGTAAAAGTTTTAACCCTTGCATATATATATATATATATACAATTATAATTTTTCAATTCAGGAAGGAATAAGTGTTGATTAATTGTATAATTGTTATTCAACTTTTGATTAATTAAAGTGTAATACCACCATTGTTTTCCCCTATTAGTCTTTGTTAAATTTGCACTTTTCAAAAAATTGTGCAGAATTTATCTTTGTTTCAAAGAAAGAAATATTTGGCATGAGTAAAGTTTTATCCTTTCCAGTACTACAGACAAAATTTCACATACCATTTCATTGCATATAAGATAATAACCATCACTGGAAGTTAACCCATTGATACTGAAACGCTATTGTTTTGAAAAGATGCATATAATTACGAAACTAACTCTAACAATTTTTGATAAAGTTCGTTATTTTATTAAACAGTCAAAAAGATTTGAACGTTCTAAGTCAGCAGCTTTCTTTTTTCTTTCTGTCCTCATTGCCTTTTTTGTTGCCATGCCAATTTGTGACTCCTTCCTTTTTTTCTTTAACTGTTACTATATTATGTATGTGTTTGCTGTCATCATATATGTGTATTGTATATGTAAGCAGAGGACTTAATATAAGTTGTAATAACTGGTGTCCAATCCTATTGCTTGGTTAATGCAATAAAATATTATTAAATAAAAAACTGGACGTTAACCAATCTTATTTTCACCCCTTTTTTCCTGTGTACAAGCGTTAGTAACCATGTAACCTCAAGTTTCCAAAATATTCTATAGAAACACCAAATAAAAAAAAAGAATGGTGCTTTGAAACACCCAAGATATATGTTTATGACTCAGAATTTTTTTTACTCCAATGCAATGTAGGATTAATTTCCTACAACTGTCAAATTCAAGGGAATATTTTTTTCGACCAGGATGTGACGTACTTTGATTTGGTGGTATTACACCTAAAATATTAGAAAGTCCATATTTATCTCGAAAATGCATATCTGTTGTATAATATTGTTAATACTTCTGCAATACACTGTCAAGTGATTCTATTATTTCATTTTTTGATAGTGCTGAAGAAATGATAAGTATACCTTTTCGTAATTATTTAAAGCATGATAGTCAATCTGGTTTATTTCGGTAACAATCATTTTTTGCAACTATAATTTTATTATTTTTCCTCATATTAAACGATACCTATTTCACTGCACCAGATGTGCCTTTCGTCAATTAATGGCTCTTAAATGATGATAAAGGCTAAACTATTTTAAACACAAAACCTAAAAAAAGTTGAATAGCTGATACACTCGAAAAGGACCAAAAGTATTGACAAATCCAGACATGAATCGGAGCAATGCATGAGAGGGATACATTCCTTAATTTCAAATTATTTCCTAAAGTTATCCCATAAAATTATGCACTATGCAAATATAATGTCTTCTTCAAATCTACCACGAAAACGAACTTAAGCTTGTGAGGCTGATTTTGTATTGATTGTCTTTGATGCATACCGAAAACAAATCTTTGGTGCATACCGCAAAAAAAAAAACAACAGTATAAACCTTACGTTCCTTCCATACAACTCTGGGGAGCGTACTCCCCCGAGCACGGAGGGTCGGCGATACGATACTTGACCGAGTTTAAATAAAAACTAATTGAAATGAAAATTTTATTTGCCACTTCTCAGCCAAGCACGTGGCATGTAGGGGTAGAAAAAAAGATACCTTGATAATTGTAAGTATTTAGAGAATTTGGTGTCAACGGCAAATCTTTGATAGTCTCTTTGCTAGTTTTGTTTTACGAACATCAGTGGCTATCATACAATATTTCCTTATATTTCTTCTGTATAAATTGTTTTACCAGTTTTTAGACTAGGGCCGATTAAGAGCTTGAAATATTAAAATACTATATAAGTAATTGTAGGAATTAGGAAATATTTTTACGAGCTTTAAAAACTGGATAAAAAAGGAGGCTCGCCGAGTACAAATGAATTCTTTATTTTGCTACAATGTACATACATTGTTTTATGCTTCAATTCAACCCTAATAAAATGAATGTTTACCTTTTGAATTCCAAAACGCTGTGTAAGATTTTTTTATGAATATCGACAACTCATCAAAGATACCGGGCTTATAATTAAACGCAGACCGCGAAGAGGACACCAAAATGAACTATCACGTATAGAGTAATAGTAACATTACCGTTCGTTCATACTGAGCAGGATAACTGGAGACTTTATTTGAACAAGCTGACATTCATGTGTATACCTGTTATTTGTACAATAGTTGGCTGATTGAAGAATATAACTGTCAATTGATGAAGACTCTATATTGACCTCTGTATGTCCATTGGTAGTTTTCCGTGTTTTTCTTTTTTTTCATTACTTCTTTTTACCACAAAAGTTTCCTAGTGCACGAATCATCAATACCGTCATTGCTAGGAACAAGTAAAAGACTGAAAACTTTCAAGTTTGAAGGAATTTATTTTTTTTTGTAGCCAGTTTTTTTCACGTTATTATTAAAGGAAATAAAAAAAAAAGAATATTGTATTAAAACTGCAATGTCCAATTTAAGCAAATGGATATGGTTAACCCCGCCACATTAATTAAGTGTCTGTCCCAAATCAGGAGCCTGTGGTTCAGTTGTTGTCGTTGGTTCATGTCTGTCATATTTGTTTTTCGTTAATTGTTTTGTTATAAATCAGTTTTCTCAATTGAATTGTTTCATATTTTTCATGTTGGGGGCCTTTACAGCCGACTATACGGTATGGGTATTTCTCAATGTTGAAGGCCGTACGGTTGCCTATAATTGGTTACATTGATGTTTAGGGAGCAACCATTTAACTTCAAGGGAGGGGGGTTATGGTTTTTTGTCCGAGTCAGAAATTTTTTAGTTTTTCGACGCTATCAATCAAATTTTTTTTTTTCAAAATTTAACACTATAAGGTATGGGGAAAATCTGGATTCAGAATATTTTTTTTGGTCATCTGCTTGACCACAATATTTTTTTCTCTCATCAAATTGGGGATCAGAATATTTTTTTAGGAAAAAACCATACCCCTCCTCCTTGAAGTTAAATGGTCGTTCCCTTAGTGGTGTGTCTGCTATTATAAACTATTATTAATCGATTCTGTTATTATTTTTAAAGGAAAGAACACAGACTAAAGAAAGGTGGTCCCGCTATAAGCATAAACATTAGATCCAGTAAAGTGATGAACATTAAAGGAACTTTAAGTACAACCTGGAACGGATATGTCTGAAAGACACATTTGATCCCCCCTCAAAGTGATGATTTATTCCATTATCTAGGGCAATGTATTGTTGTTAGTCCTTTCAAACTATGTAAATCAAAATTTGCAAAGTTAACAATGAAAATGTTAATGATACGTAATGTACACGAACAGTGCCATATCCAGGTAACAACTTTTCTTGTTGAATGTAAACAATAACTGAAAATTGTATAGATCACGTGAGAAGTCATGTAAGATACTGATATGATTTGTAAAAGAGGGACGAAAGATACGAGAGGGACAGTCAAACTCATAGATCGAAAACAAACTGACAACGCCATGTAACATAGATACTTGCACTATAACGATAAATGCTTGCCAACAAGGTTTGAATCTTCATCTTAATATTATAATTTAGGGGCCAAGTTTGGAGATTAATAACTCCCCTCAATTTAACTTTTGCATTTCTCCTTGATAAGGCTGTCAAAGTCGAATACTGTTCTTTCAGTTTCTGACGGATTGTTCTGGTTAATCGGTAAGGTGCGTTTCTTGCATATTGCTATTAACAAATAACTGCAATACATATTTGTCGTATTTTTTGTTTAGAAATCTTTAATTTGGCATTGCAATGTATGTATGAGTACAAATGTTATTTCCTGGTGCACTGCCAAGAAACCAAATTCAGGAAAAAAATAACGAATAACAAATTGCAGTTTGATATTTTTACGATATTTTGACGATTTAACATTGACACTGTGATGTACGTTTTTTGGTATCATTCGTCAAAAATAACGCTTTTACTTGTCAGATTTAACTGCTTTGTACTTGATTTGAGTAATTAAAATTAAATACTAGTTCTATATTTGTCAACATAATTGTGCAATATTCTACAATATAACAGATAATATAACAT